CTCGAAGAATAGGCGTGGTTTGCTCTTGGTGACGGAAGAGTTTTGAGTATGTTAGGGCTGGGATCTTTGCTGCTGGGATCTTGGTGTTCGGAAGTATATTGAGGCAAAAAGCATCACTGCACAAAAATGTCTGTCAGCAACGACCGACAACCAAATGGGATTTCTACTACTGCTCCATGACATGACGAGAGAGCAGAGCATGGTCCGCGCGATATTCTCGCGTTGAGCATAGCGAGAGAATGAAAGCAGTGATGACGGGAATAGAGAGAGATCTGAAATTGTACAGATCCTCGAACAAGAGGACAAGAGGAGTAGTCATACTTGAAGGACTCGGATAATAGAATCGCATATAGTTGTCATAAGCCACATAGCGTTGCCACAAATGCCATGCGACAGATCCGTCTGCATGACAATCTCAACGAGTTGAAGGATGACGATCCCACACTGCCATGCGGGCGAACACCACTTCAGATGGCCGGATAAAAACTGACCAGGAAAGGAGAGACTTGCAATTCAAGGGAGTGACAATCGGGACTACTCATTTACTCAGATCGAGCAACGATAGAAAGCAAAATCGAGCCCACGAAAGGAGAGAAGATCGTCAATCAGAATGGGGGATTGTCAGATAGATATGCCCGGCAAGCGGGTACCTTTAGTTTTTTCCAGATTGACAATCATGGCGAAAATCCTCGGGCTCTTTCAGATTTAAGTTCCCCGGGGCTGCCACGCCTCTTTGGGACCTGGGTATCTTGCCTGGTACGTATTCCTACGTAGTGTGGGCATTTTTTTAGGCGTGGAATGGCCACATGGTCTGTGCTTCATGGGTTTGTCTGGATACAGGATGAGAGAGGTCACTGCAATGCCTGGAATCATACTAGCAGGTATTGGCGAATCCAAGGTAGCTTATTGTCTTCAACACTCTTTGAAATTAGACTCCTCCTTCTTAGGCAGTAGTAGACGGTCTTAGCCCTGTCTAGGTCATCTAGGTCATCTAGTAGGTCATAAGCCTGGGAAAACTGTACGGAGTATTCGGGCTGGGCGTTATTTTGATTTATTTTTATTATGATTATTATTATTATTATTCAATTGTGCAGCATCCATGATTTTCAACCGTCGGGATGGGGCATACCAGATACCTACTAAAGGGACCATTGGGTCGGAGAGCGGCAGGTGATCAATCAGACCGCAGGATTGTGGGCGGGACTCAATTGGACCTTTTTTATGTTCTCCAATTGACTCTTCCTCTCTCTCTCCCATTTCCGTGTACCGGTACGTGTTTCCCTTTCCTCCGCCGGCACCGTCTTTTCCACCTCCTTTCCCGACTACGGAGTACTTCTGCACTGGTACTACCTCCGTTCTGAGGCATTAACACGTTCGTCCGCATCCTTTCCCAGCAGTGGCTGACCAGCTCGTTCTAGACTTCACATAAAGTCCTTGACAGCCTCCATTATGCCTTATGGCCCGACCAACAGGTTGCTCGTTGCTTTGGATGGAAAGGGCCGGCAAACGGTTACGTCCCGTATATCCATTCCATGTGGAGAAGTGAAGAACTGGATTCAATTCAGTAGTAAACTTCAGGTTCCCTTCCACCCTCTCCCACCCCCCACCTCCCTGGGGGCTCGCTCCTCCCCTCTTTCTAGTCTCCAGACCTAAATCCTCCTCCCCGGGATCAACATGGCTTTCCCCTAAACAATCGTGTCATTCCTTTCCGCCACTTCAACCAAAACTGAGTTCTTACCTACGCACTAGTTCAGAAAGCTGGGAGCCCAGAGACGCAGAGAGACGTCCGGCTTGCTCCGCTTATTGTTCCTGGCGCCAATCATAGACCCTATTCGTCCTGAAAAGCTGGATGGCTACCTGCTCGTCTTACTCGGATGGTTCAGTCCTGAAGTGCCGTCACTGCCAATCAGCATCGGCCTCCCGTAGCTAAGACCAAGTTATCGGATCTCGGGAACAAGTCGTATTTTCACCGATCCAGGGCGGTTCTTCTCGCCGCAGGCTCCTCCTCTACGCACAGCAAATCGCAGCAAGTGGTGGGCCACCGGAAGCTCGGAACCAATGATGGGAAAGGAGGAAACCTTTTTTTCTTTCTCTTTCGTTTACCCAAGTCCATACTGGCCTTATCCACGGTCACGGTCGACGGGACTCGAATTGTTGCAAGCTTCCAAGACGGTGATTTTGCCGTTCCTGACATAGGGGAGTAGTCAACCGACGCAACCTTGGGTGGTAAACAGTTAGGCTTTTACCCGTGCGATTCCCTTTCGCATCGCAAAAGGGGATTCGTTCGTCCATTGCCCATGCGAAAGGAGAACGAGAAACTTTATTTATGCGCTCCTAATGCTATGCTACCCTTACATTATACTAAGTACAAGACACCAGGTCTCGCATTCTCTTTTTCTATCCTTCGAGCGAAAGTTGGTAGCTTGACGTCTGAGGGTGAAGGCAGGTCATGTACTGTACGACTATGCACGTCAACACTCACTCATACAGAATGACATTGTCCAGTCCGGAGTAAGTATCTCGCTAGACCACAGCATGATGTACACATGTGGGAATCAGATTATGCGTAGCCCTTGTTTCAGGAAAAAGCAAGACCACTTAGCTGCGGAGTCCGGCGTGCAGCCCCTTTGTTTTGGAAACCTGAGCCTGTCATCGCTTTGATTAAGTGGTCTCGCTTGGAAAGCATCAATCCAATGACAGAGGGGTCTTCCATCATAGCATCATCAATCATCAATCCACGTCCGAGTCAGTTGTTATTCTTAGCCAGCCTCCTCCCCAAAGAGGAAAGAAAGAAAAACAAAAACAAAAACAAAAAAGAGAGGGGGGGAAGAGAGAACCTGAAGGGGACGGGATGCTCCATAAAAATTCTGCCATGCAAATTGGCACTGCAGCCACTGCTAGTTTACGGAGCACTAGCGCAGCAGGCCAGCAGCCCATGTGATAGAAACCGACTAGACTCGACCGACGACATCATCTGCTGGTGACTAAAAATACTGTCATTGCATTCTTTTGAGGCTTGGAGGGTGTGGAAGCTGTGGTTTCGAAGTTCTGTTCTTTTTCTCTCTCTTGCCAGTAGTAACTTTTGCCGTCACATTGACTGGTCTTTTCTGGGCATTGGGCTGGGCAGAGGACTGTTCACCCTCTCCCTCTCCTTCCAGCCGATTCCGACTTCGATTCAAAGCTGGTTTGCCTCTACCAGTCACATCTGCCATCAAACACGGCTGAGCTTGGAAATCCTTCCGCTCCTTTCCCGTCCCCTTCGTTTGTCCCGCATCATGCTATCATGCTACCAAAGTCCTCGTAACCTCGTATCATTCTTAAAGTTCTCATTTATCAGCATACTCCACTTATGGGTGGCGTAGGGGACGACGGAGAGGGAGGGGATGCGGAAGGCAGACAGATACTTTATCCTGCGCTTGGATCTTTTGTGGAATGTCAGAAAAGCGCCCCCCCCCAGTACACAATGTCCAGTCCTACTACCACTACAACTAAGTCTTTTGGTCAATTGACCATCGGAGGTGAGTGCCCGGGGGTCAGTCAGCATGGAAGTTGAATGAATCTGGGCAAATGTCAATCGGATCGTCTTGCGACCGATTGGTCGGATTGAAGCGGATTGAGCTGCAACATATTGTTTCTATGCAGGGGTGCAAGTAAGCCATTTTGACTGTGTACTCCGTAGAGCATACCACAATAACTACTAGCATCATTAGACTTTGACATTGAACATTGAACATATTAGGCGATCCATGAGACTGGAATAAAGGACCTCCTGCCAGATGTGGCCTGACACCGGCCCTCGGTATACATTTCTTACCCGTCCTTCGTCGACGGTACCTCGAACAAGTCAATCGTCCGGAGTGCTCCCATACTTTTAACTAGATCAGCATCATCAACTCCCCTATTACCGCCATGAAAACAAAGACATAATAATTGTCAAGAATCAAACAGATGACAGACTGCCACTCGGAGCGTCCGTCCACCCTAATCAGCTTACTGCCGTTTAGGCCTACCGTACTAAGGCGCCACAATGCCAGCAATAACCTTAAGAAGCATGTCGGAGAATTCATCCCCATGCCCACTCCCCCTCCCCCCATGTCCATTGGCACTTTGACACGCTATTGCCATGTGAATATCAAATCATGCGCAGTAGATTGATTAATCAACTAGTCGGGGTACGGTACGACCCGTCAGCCTCCTTTGCTAGCAGCCTAGCAATCAGGTAACTACGGAGGGGTTCGAGCTGCTAATCCAGATACTGATAGACTAGCTTTGCCTGGAAGAAGCAGCAAATCCAGCTCTCAGCTTAGCCTAAATCGCCAGTGGCCCAGTGGGACCTGCACTCACTCTCCACCACAGCCATGAAACAACGAAGCGTACCTATGCGAATTGCCTGAAGGGGATAAAGCTCAGCCGATCAAATAGATTGCACCCCCCCCAGAAAATAAACCCCGTGCGCAAGCGAACCCCTGGACCGACCTGACTTGTGTGGAAGAGCAATGCATCATTGACGACGTTCAATAATACTCGAAAAGCACCTCGACATCCGCCATTAGACATTATTAAGGTCAAGCAAACAAAATAACTTATCCGCTAGTACACAAACGCACATACACATACACATACCCACCACATGGTCTCGAGAAAAATTGCCACCCCACTCAGTTGTGATGGTTATACTACGTTATTCTCTGTTTCCAGGAATACGCTAACAACAATATTACCCAACTACGGTACAAGAGCAGGAGCCCCCTTTGGCACTCTCCTCACTCTCCGCTTCCCTACGGAGCTCCGTACTTCTCTTATGGTTGGGTCCTTTCCGGGCCCCCCGCGGCGCGCGGATGTTTCCAAACGCGCTACCCGACGTCCCGCCAAGTTCCAGTGGCTTGCCCTTTCCTTAAGTGGGCTGGTTTTTGACTTATAATTTCGTGATTTGGGGGAAAAGCTGTCATGGTTTCTCATTTTTATACAGTTTTCCCGGGGGGCAAAGCGGGTTTCTAATTTTAGGAATTCCCGGGGGTGGTCTTTTCCAGGATCGTCTTCATCATTTCGTTGCCCAGCTTGACGGCTTCGGGGAATCGCGGGGCGAAATACTGCTGGATACGTTCGAAGCGATCGCGGTAGGACTGGAAATCACCGAAAGAGACACAGTCGGACCACGCCTATCAGAAATGGTCACATAATGTCAGTGGGATATTCTGGAACGAACGCTCGACAGAAGGGCTCGACAAACGGCGCATATAAGGCCGAGGGGAGAGAACGAGAAAGAGCGACAGGGATTGGCAGATGCAAAACTTGCATAAGCCCCCCGGACAGATGCTGGCCCCACGGAGATCCGGGTCGGTCGAGAGGGAGGGGTGAAGGGGGGAAGTGGAACAGGTTCAAAAGTCTAAGTACTTACCCGCGCTGCGAAAGTGAATTCTAAGTCGTCGGACCGGAACGTCTTGTCATCGATGGCGGTGTCGAGAGCCTCCTCGAGGAGCTCGGGGCTGCGAAACAGGTACTCTGTGACACCTAGCCAGAGACGGAAGAGCTGTTTGGATTGTGAAGACACGAAAGTGTGAGTAAGACTGAAGGAGGGGAGGAGGGCAATATACTAGACCTCCGCGTGCGCACGCGGCGGGCAGATACCCGGGGAGGACAGGGGTTCTTACAGGTGTTGAGCAGATCATATGGTCATAAGGCACGATTCCGAGTTTGGACCAGCAGTCGACGATGGCAAGCAAACTGAGGTGATTGTTGGGCGGCGTCTTCTCGCGCGGACCATTCGACAAGGAGAAGCGATCGAGCACCTCGTCCTTCAGCAGCAGCTCTTGACTCTCGGTCCCCGCCTTGAAAACGGCCTCGCCCGCCGCCTTGACGCGCTGTTTAAGCTCTTCGCGACGGCCCTCGATCATGAGCTTGTAGAGTTCGGTCACCGATTCGGCATACTGGCGGATCTGCTTCTTCGCCGCCGGGTTGAGAATGGCCAGGCCCGCGTACACGTGCCATTTGTTGGAGTAGATGCGCAGGGTGATGTTGATTTTGACGTTCTCGATGCCTCCAACCCAGCGGGAGAATTCCCAGGGGAACTGATTGTTTGCTTGCCAAGCCGTACCCATGCTCAGAAAGGCGGCGTGTGTAACCGCCTGCGTGTCAGCGGTGATCCGGTCATGCATCTCTCCCGTTAGATAGACGTATTCGGAGCCGAAGCATGATAGGACTTCTTCGACGAATCTGAGGCTCTCATCGGACGCACGGTGTTGGATCAGGACCTATAGGAAGCAAGGTATGTTACTAGGGGGTGTGCCGGCCACATTGCGATGATCCTTGTCACCATCATTGAAAGGTATCAATCAATCAATCACGCAAGCATACCAGTGGTTGGCCCTTGGGGTTGACCTTGGGCCCATGGAGCGAATGGCAGGATACAATTTCTACATCCGGGGGAAGATGCTTATCGAATGCAGCAAGCTCCGGGGCCTTGCAGGACGTTTGACCTCCAACGATTGCGCCGACCTTGGTGGCTTTCCAGGCGTCAGACAACGTTTGCCGAGTAACAGTAGAAAAGGGAGCAATGCTGGGGCGCGGCGGTTTGGCTTCAAAGACATACATGGGCCATACTCAGTGACTACCTTGTCAATGACACCAGCCTCTACACTGTAAATGATGTAATCGCTAATCCTAGAAACCAGGTGTCCATTCGGGTATACGGTAACACCTTGCTTTCTCAAGATGAGTTTATGGACAGCACTGGCTGCGAGTAATCAAAGACGTACTTGAGATTCAAATTCATTTTTCAGGTCCTCATACAATTCGAGTTTGTCACATGCATTAATCCTTTATTGGGGAAAATATCTAGTTAGTACAACTGATGTTGTTTGCTATCGAATGATCAAAAAGTATACACAAAATTAATAACCTGGAAGCAAGGACAGTCAGCGCGAGATCCAACAGCGAATGGCTATGGAAAGAAGCATGATTGTGTTGCGAATTTCAGACAAAGAAATATAGGTAGCTGAGATGTTACATCATTGACGACCCAGTGCGTAGCAGGTATATCAGAATGATATAAACGCCGGACACCGAGCCATACTCGAGCCAAATGCACTCAAGTCATCATTCAAAGTGGGAGTGGGTTGAAAGGTATCTAGAAGATAAATAGAAGAGAGTGGTGGCTTACCTAGTAAGAGAAAACGCTGAGGGTATCTTGTCGAGACAGCAACGGAAAGAAAAGAATCTTCGCGTGTATTACCTCCATCCTGCGGCACTGAGGCGCTGGGCATACATTTTGCCCATATCACCCATTCCAATAATGCCAATACTGGCAGTCTCCTTGGTGAAGCCCATGATGGCGGTGCCTGGAGCGAAGATGAGAGACGTCGAATAAGTGACAATCAGCTCATTAGACTCCCAGCGCAGATGGCCACGGAGTCAACCAGTTGTTTTGGCTTGAATGATCACAAAGAAGGAGAAAGCGTAAGCCTGTGGAAACCCACGGGGAGAATCTTAAATAGTGCCGGCATCTTCAACTTTCGGGCCGACTAGAAGCCCGAGGCGCCGCCAATCAACGGCTGTCAAAAACGCCTTGATTGCTCGAGGCCTCAGGCAGGCGCTCGCTTGAGCACGGCCTGATACTGATCCGCAGCCAATCAGAGCCGGGGTGTGGATAGGGCACACACCGGCCGGGTTTTTTTCCTCTATCCCAACTTCACTTCGAGCGGGCGCGTTCGACTTCGACTTCCTTTTTTCCTTTCTTCTGTCCCATATTCCATCCCACAACCGACAAAAATGGCTCCCAAGAAGACCACCCCTGCCGCCAAGGAGAACGTCACTCTCGGCCCTCTGGCCGGTGATGGTACGAACTGATTCCCAGCAGTCAAGAAATTCATTACGCGCAAAGTCAGATGCTAATGTGAACATTGGGGGGTTTTCAGGCAAGCTCGTCTTCGGCGTTGCCCGCATCTTCGCCTCTTTCAACGATACCTTCGTTCACGTCACCGATCTCTCGTGAGTCTCTCCGCCCTCGGTTCGCAAACCTCTGGAAACCATCTCTCGAACCCGGTGCGCTTGTGATCAGGCTGGCTACGAAGAGTCGTGGCAAGGCAAACCGAGATAGATTGATGGGGAACCAAAATTGAAGAACATCTACGGGAACAGCGCAAGAGACAAATACTAACAACTCATCCTACTACAGCGGCCGTGAAACCATCTGCCGTGTTACCGGTGGTATGAAGGTCAAGGCTGACCGTGACGAGTCCTCCCCCTACGCCGCCATGTTGGCCGCCCAGGACGTCGCCGCCCGCTGCAAGGAGCTCGGCATCAACGCCCTCCACATCAAGATCCGCGCCACCGGTGGTAACGGTACCAAGACCCCTGGTCCCGGTGCTCAGTCCGCCCTCCGCGCCCTTGCCCGTTCCGGCATGCGCATCGGCCGCATCGAGGACGTCACCCCCACCCCCTCCGACTCCACTCGTCGCAAGGGTGGTCGCCGTGGTCGTCGTCTGTAAGCATGTGCGAGTCTCGGTCTTCTCCAAACTGGTGCAGAGGCTTCTTTCGCACGTGTCTGGGGACTTGTTGCTCGGTGCTGCTTGCCGGCTGTGGATGGAATAAACGCGAAGAACGGCTTTTTGCGCCTGGTCTTCAATTTATTACATACCCAAAAGTGTGTTTAGCGGTTCTGGAATTTCACATCTTAACTAGTCTGGTGTCATCTCGACGGTTGCTCTGGTCAATATAAGTGGAACCTTGGACTGCACTCTTTCTTCCCATCCTACGCAAAAATAAATGTAATCATGCTTCGGGTAGCAAAGAAGCCAGACATTTGCCATCTGCTTTCGATCCCATGATCTCAGGATGTAGATATTCTAGCGAAATATTTAAGGCTGGTCGGCCCACCCAGCCGCTAAGATAAGCCCAAACTTATCGATCAGTCAGCGTATCGCGAAGCTTCCAACTTGATCGGCGCACATTCCAAGTCTTGCCCCTCTCTATCATATGCAACAGCACAGTAACACGCCAACTTCTACCTAACCAGACTTCAACAACAGGAATTAGCCGAAAGCAATATACTGGTTCGGCCTGCCAGTTTTCGCTCTAGCTCAAACTTGACGTCAATCCGCGGGGGCGCGACGACCCCTCCCAAAAACATCACTTCTCTACAGCCCACTAGCTTGCACCCATTTCACCCCTCCCACCTAATACAACCAACAAAACCTCCTACAGTCCTCTCCAACATCCTAGATGATCTCCCTCAACCGAACCGCTTACCAAAACCTCTGACCGCCAAAAAAAAAAGAAACCACTACCCAACGCCACAAAAGAAAATGACCACCCCATCCCCCACCATCCTCCTCCCCCACCTGCCCCCCAAGACCCTCGTCGGCATCGACCTGATCACCTTCACCTCGACCGCCAACTTCCACGGCATCCGCGACTTACCTGCGGGGTGGCACTTCCTCTACACCGGCACGACCGAACGTCTCTCCCTGCGGAGCGGAAGCTGGTTCTACGTTGGGGATTTGGGCAGCGCTGCCGCCGCCGCCGCCGATACGAATCCCGGCGCACTCGTCTCCCTCCACCCATCGACTCAACGGCAGCAGCAAGAATATGGCCAAGACATCATAGTCTGGAAATGGGACACGGAGAGTGAAACGCTCGCACCGTTGAGCGCCGCTAGCGATGCGGACCGGCAGGAGGCGATGCGGCAGAAGGCGAATCTGGGGGCGGTTTATCGGCGGGGCGGGTTGTTTCGGTACCGGAGTCGGGTGACGGAGGCGATGTTGGCGATGCAGTCACAAAAGCAGCAGCAGCAGCAGCAGCGGGGAGTGCGGTTTGAAGGTGATGAGGTGGAAGGGGAGGAAGAGGAGGAGGAGGAGGAGCAGGAGGGGAGGAGGGATTGGCGAGGTTTGACGGATAGGATTACGGAGGGGTTGCTGGATCGGATTGTTGGGGTTCCTGTTGTGGATGTCGATGGGAGGGCTCGGTGGATGGTTACCTCGGCGAGTACCGCGCTGAGGGATAGTGATGCTATTCCTGGGTTGACCGTGGAGGCAGAGGAAGGGGGGAAGCAGAGGTTGGATGAAGGGGCGATCGAGAGGGTGACCGGGGAGAAGGAACGGGAGTTCTCGTTTGTCCCGGTGGATCTGAAGCGGACGTGGAGGGAGGGTGCGATTGGGAGGGAGAGGACTGAGGCCGCCCAGGATCGTTCGTGGGCCTTGGGGGACTTGATTGATAGGGTTTCATCGGGTTCAGGGGCCACGGATGCTGAGAGGGAGAGGGCCGGGGAAGGCCAGCTGTTGGGCGAGCTGCAATTCTCTTTCTTGATGATCCTGACTTTGATGAATTACTCGTGTCTGCAGCAGTGGAAGCGTTTGCTGGAGCTGATCCTCACTTGTCGGAGTGCAATCCGTGAGCGGGAGGCGTTCATGAGTGATCTGCTGCGCTTGCTCTTGCTGCAGCTGCGCCGTTGTGACGATGTAGAGGGGGGTTTGTTTGACCTTGATGGAGAAGAAGGCGGTGCGTTCTTGCGGAAGCTACTAATGAAGTTCCGGAAGTCGCTATATGAGGTTCTCGAAGAGACAGACTCCCAGGTGAAGACGGAGTTCGAAAAGCTCGAGGCTTTCGTCAAAGAGGAATACGATTGGGAGCTCAATCGTGACGTGATTCTTCGACGAGGTATGGTACAACTGGAGGATGGTGAGCAGGTCGAGCTGGAGGTGGCGGGTGACAATGAAGAAGAGGAGCTTGGAGAATACGCGCCTATGGTTGTGGACCTTGGAGAGGGCACTGGAATGGACGATAGCGATTCCAGTGAGAACCTGAATTAGCAGCTGGAGCTGTTGGGTGGATTTTGGCCAATGTTCCATGTAAATCCATGTAAATTCAGTGGATAGCATGTATACATCAACCACGGGATATGTATGTGATAATGAATAGACTACACGAGATTATGAAACAGGTAGTTGAATCGAACGATGGTGAGTTACGACAATACTAAAACAGGTCTATGGCCCTCACATATATATAAAAAACGAAGCAGTCAGAGTCATAAAACATTGGAAATTCGTCTCTAGGATCTAGCTCTATATCAGAAGCAGAACACAGCACTACTATGTACAGTCCACCACCCTTAAGGCACGCAGCCCAACCCCGCCTCCACACAGACCCCCACGTGGCAATCCTTCTCTGCATGACCAACATTCCAGGACCTTGCCATAACCAAAGTTCTCGGCCTAGTTCTCAATCTCATCTTCAATGACAAAACCCCACTTGTGGTTTTCCTGGCCATCCTTGCCATACATGATAGCCTCCAGCCACGACTTGATCTGAGCGGCGTAGCCTGCACGCTCAGCGCCGGCAGTCAGCAGGTCGATGTCGACGTTGCCGTTGCGAATGAGCTTGACAGGGGTGATGAAGAACTAGTCGCAATGTCAGTAACTTTTTCTTTCGCCCAATCCACAATCCAAATCACTACCAGGAGGAAAACTTACCGCAGTACCAGAGACGAAAGACTCGACGATGCGCCCCTCCTTCCAGGCCTCCTCGATGTCGGCAATCGTGAACTCCCTCTCCACGACCTCGACGGGAGCAAGGTTGCCGCAGGGCTGAGCGAAGTGTGTCCGAGCCAGCTCCAGAACACTACGACGGGTGACACCAGGCAGGATCAACTGACTGTCCAGAGGCGCAGTGATCAACTCCAATTTGCCCGTCTCCTTGTTGTCCCACACGACGAAGAAGTTACTGGCACCGGCCTCGGTGACCTTGCGGTCCTCTCCGAACAGCCAGAGCACCTGGTCGAATCCGAGGGCCTGCGCCCGGCCGTGCGCGGCCAGGGACGGTCCATAGTTGGCGCCCAGCTTAGCATATCCGAAGCCACCGGGCCAGGCACGGATCGTGTCGGGCTGGGAGGCAAGGAGCTTCAGACCGTGGGGGGCACCCTCCTCTTGCTTCTTCTTCGACGGGTCAGGCCAGGGGACCGCGATGATGAACAGGAGTGCTTCCTTGGGGGTTTGTACGCCCAGCTGGGTGCCGTTTCCGATCACCGTGGGACGGAGGTAGAGGAAGCGACCGGGTTGATCCTTGGGGAGCCAGCCTGCAGCAAGAGAGAACGACCTCGGTGTCAGCTGGGGTGTCATGCATGAAATGATCGTCGGTCAGGGGATACGGGCGGGGAGATTCATACGTGGTCCATCGATCTGCATCAATTTCGCGATGAGGTGCTTCAACTCCTCGAATCTGAAACCAGGGAGGGAGGCCCTCTTGGAGCTCCCGTCCAAGCGCTCTCCATTGAGATCGGGTCGGAACAAGCGCAACTTGCCATCCTGGCCGCGATATACTTTCATGCCCTCGAAGCATTCGGTGGCGTAGTGCAGGCACGAAGCGGTGGGAGGGATGCTCAGGTTGGCGAAGGGCTTCACTTCAGGCGTATCCCAGCCATTGCTCGCCGTCCACCGGACAGTGACCATATGATCGGTGCAGTGGGAATGGCTCAATTCCTCCGGCGATCCAGGGAGGGGCACATCGCGGAGATTGGTCGAACGAGTCACCTTGATGTACGAGGCATCAAGCTCGGCGAGAGTAGGCGCAGCAGAACCCATGATCACTTCACTTAAGTTTTCGGTCGGAAAGGGTAATATGCGGAGATATCTGGAAGCAACGCTCTGGGGGAGGAGGGAGATATGCCCAATTGATACTTGAGAGATTATCCCGCAGAAAGATGGTGAGTCACCACAGAGATAACTTTGGAAGTGAACCAGCGGGAACGGAGTTCGGGGACACGACTCGAACGGGCTACAGCTTGGGCCAAGATCCAAAGATCGGTCGCTGAGTGGGAGACAACAGGGCGAACGGAGGGAAGTTGAAAGGAGGACAGGAGGGGAACCAGATACACAAATCTCTACAACATGTCGATGCGTCTACTTTATGAACTTTCCATGCCAGACCCGGAGGCAAAGAAAACTTTTCGGCGAGCCGAATCTCCCTATAGTCTGGGACGTCTTTTCGCCTTCGATATCCGAATTCGCAACAGCAGTTGGATCCATCTATGGGTTGAGAGACGGTTCAATCGGCACCCTGAGCATCAGGGTTCTTGCCCGCGATAGGTTATCATCGGTTAACGTCTCCGCAGATGGTGCTATTGTTGCTCTGAAACGGCTTTCTGTACCTTCCAAGTGATTCTGAAGATGGGCCCTTGAGGATCTATTGTCCCGCTTCAATCGTGCCCGCTCCGCCATCGGTGCCCCTCGACAACCGCCCAGACCGAGGATAACCGCAGGCGGTGTGAGCAGCAGGACAGAGTAGTCAGAACTTATCTAAGCAAGTCTGCGAAGGATGGCCGTAAGTTCACCGCCGAGAGTCTGGGTGAGATAGTTCTGGCAGAAAATGGCGGTGTGAATGAGACTCGAACAGTGTGCGGAGTAGGTACCTTCAGTACTCTGTACTGCACCCTCTCCCCTTCCAAACAAGCTTAGACTTTTGCAAGGTACCAGGTCACAAGGCATACCAGCAAATCGTGGGGGAAAAGGCCATATTTCGAATGCATAGTACCCCGTGCTGTGTAGCAGCAAAATTCAGAGATTAAATGTGTGGCCGACCCTTGCTTGTGTTCCCAGGGAAGCAGACCGACACTCCCAACTTGGAACATACACTACCTGTCTCCTTCGATCGATCACGATCAAGCCTTGTCATTGGAGAACGAAAGAAAGTCCAGAGAAAGAGAAAAACAAGAAAGCAAACAAGCGAGAAGACACTGCAATTTCCCAGGTACCCATCAAAAAGCAAACAATGGGACAACATCGTTTCACTAGGTAGTATCCAGTAGAGTGCTTGATTCATGATCAATGAAACGTGGAGTCTAAACCGAGTTAGAACAAGTGCTAGCCGATCCTCGCATCGCCGTCACATACTGTAGCTATGTAAAATACCCCGTACAGTACAACTTTAACTGTTTATATGGACTACAGACTCTCAGAATACAATATCCATTATCGAGTGATCTTATCATTTTCAGATGACCACACCTATCAGCAGGGTAAAAAAAAAATGAAAAAAAAAAAAAAAAAAAAAAAAAAAAAAAAAAAACTTCCAGTAAGCATGCATAACTGTCTCAGATCGATCGATCAGTGACCGCTACCAAGTTA